ATAAAGTCCCATAAGTCCTCTTCCCAGCGTGACCACTGGTTTATTTTCACCGTACTGAACAACGAGTGAAGGTATAACGAAAAGAAATAGAAACCGGCGAAAACAGTGGAGCACTGACAGCTATCACCGTAAACCGAAGGTTCGGGGTATGATTCACGGTGACGCAGCCCTTAGTTCTAGCATTTCTTTGCCCTGCCCTGAAAACAAGAATGAAGATATTGCACGTCCCTTTGGCGTTAGTCTCGCTTTATTGAGGATGGGCATTCGCCAGTCGACATTGTTGCCTTTACCCGATAGCTTAAAGAGCTCATTTCGCACAAATTATGGCAAACTCGTATCTGTGATGTGAATTCGTAAGAGAAAATTGAATCTTTCCCGCAAAAAAACGTTTCGTAGTTAAAAAAGACTATCGTCTTTAAAAGAGAAGTGCTGTCCTGCGCGTAACACAGCACATTCGCAGCGAAAGCTATAAGAGCGGCCTTTGAGGGCATTTTTAAGCACTGTTTGGCCAACTGCTACAAGCACACTTGCCGTGTACCCACAATGCCACAAATAATAATTTTTGTGCCATAAGCCAGCGTTCACTATGCTATCATTCGTTATTCTTCAGAGAAGCGTGGTATCCGCTACACACATGCTAGGTATTTTGTGCAATTTTGTATGCAATAGCTGGCGACGATCACGAATCATGATTGAAGTGGGCATGTGCCACAGTTGTTAGGTGATCAAAAAGAAGTTTCCTAATGGGCTTGAACATTCGAGGACCCAATCGTTCCGCAATTAGTATTGTGTGACGCCTTGTTGTACCATTGATGTTCTAAAACACTTTGATGTTCTAAAAGCCTGCCTAGGACCAGCCTGCCTAGGACCGTGGCGCAGTGGTAGCATACTGGACTTGCACGTGACAGACCTGGGTTCAAATCTCTTTGAGGCCCTTAGTGTTGTTTTATTTACCGATTTTTTCTTGTAATAATGGTTACAGACACCAGCGGCAGAAAACTGCAGTGCCGCGCATGCCCCGTGTTTTGATGTCATAAAAGCTCTCGGTTTAAAGTACATAGAATGCGAAAAAGGTATGAAGAAAAACAGAAACAAAGGGAAACAAGGCAGACAACCCAGCTGCGCTGCTCTTTCAGCCTCAGCCTCGTACTTGTGGTACGAAGCTTTCTTGGGATTATATTTTTTTTACAGTGATTGCTGTTATAAAATCAAAACTTAGGTCACGTGCGGCGCTGTCGCTTTCTGCCACCAGTCTCCATAAACACTATCGCATAATAAGAAACACCTAGTACAAAGGACACAGTGGGTCTGGAGCCCGAGTCTGCTGCGTGCCAGCGCAGTATTCTAACTCTGAGCCATGCCGGTGCTTGGGACTCGTTCGCGAACCTGATTTAGGAAGGCTCCATGGCGGAAACTTTATGTGTTAATGTGAATAATGAAGCGTTTAGAACAACAAAATAGCATCTAGGCGTCAGACAATGCGAATAGCATAACCAGTAGGTCGCTCAATGCACCAACTCATTAGAAAATCTTGTTCCTGATCACTTATTAACTGTGACGCATGCCCACTTCAAGCATAATTCCTCATCGTCATCAGCCACTGCATGAACAATTGGCAGAAAATTACTTGCAAGTGTTTAGCGGATACCACGCTTCTCGGAAGAATGAGGAAGAATAGCATAGCGAAAGCTGGCTTACTACCCAGAAATTATTATAATTGATGCCGTAGTAGGAACTAAGCAAGTGTGCTTGCAGCAGTTACCTAAAGAGTGTTTGTAATAGGTTTTTAAAGGCCGCTCTTGTAAATTTCGCTGTGATTGTGCTGTGCCTTCCGCGCAGGCCTTGTGTTTTTTTCGCTCGGTCAATGTATATTCTACCGGTTACACAGCTTTGCGCTGCCTTCAAAATCACAAGCACTGCAAACTATGCGCACCGGTCCAGGTTTGGCGCTGCCTCCATTATCTGCAAACAATTACACCTTTACAGCCAAGCAACAGTGTCGTATAATTACGTGACAATGATGTTTCAGTTTCAGTTTCAGTTTCAGTTTTATTGAGCATTTTCTTCACAGAGTTGCGAAAAAGAAAACGCAAGGATAGGAGCAAAAAGCTGCTATATTAGCAGCTTGACGAGGCTCCTACCCCTTTTCACTTGGCATTACAGAATCAGCAGAGCACAAAACATGAAAAAACAATTTGACGTCGATTTTCAAAACTTCAATAAATAAAAAGAAAATGCATCAAAATTACATCAGTTTCAGGTTTACATAAAATAAGCAAACCACATAGAGAGAAAAACAACAAAAAACAAAAGAAAACAGTGTGCGGCCAATCATGAAACAATGCACACGTTGCTAAACGGCTACCAAAGTATTACAACATGATTATACAACGTTTACAACACTGGGTATGCGAAAAGCACGAGTTTTAGTGCACAAGGGAAACACTGACGAGTGAAATGTTGTATGTTTTACTCGTAAAAAAAAAGCAACGAAAAAAATGTCAAAGAAAGCAAACATTATACGATGCCATGTTACACAAGCACTATTATAGGGTGTTTCTTTTACATATAGTACTGTAGCCGGACAACTAGAAGATGCTAAACTACACGGCGCCATTTTGGATGAGAAGGTTCTTAAGTTGTTTTTTATGTATAATAAAGATGTCGATGTTTTTATTTTCAAGCAAGTTAAAACAAGCTGGAATACAGTGTTCAAGTCTTCTCAAACCGTGATTAGTTCGCGAATAAGGAACAAACCAGGAAGGCCTTTTCCGAATGTCATAATAGGATTGTGTATTTTTCCTGAGGTTACACAGTTTAAGAAAACAAGCATTGTTTGATAGCAAGCTTTGTTTGTATTTCATAATAAGGTTGAAACTGTGTATGTGATCGATCGGTAAAATCTTATATTCTCTGAATAAATGACTTGTATGTGCGTCGTATGGTACGTTTGCAATATGACGAATCGCTTTTTTCTGCAGTAAAAATATTTTGTTCCGATTTGCTTTAGATGTATCTGCCCACACTAGACTACAATAGTTTATGTGAGATGAAAACAACGTATTATAGAGTAAAAGTTTAATGTTTGCTGGAAGTATCTGTCGAAGTTTAGAGAGAGCACCACACGTCCTAGCTATATTTCTAGTTACTTTATTAACGTGTTCATCCCAATTAAGATTTTCATTAAAAATTATTTTAATGCTTTTTAATAGCTTTCGCTATGCTATTCTTCCTCATTCTTCCGAGAAGCGTGGTATCCGCTAAACACTTGCAAGTAATTTTCTGCCAATTGTTCATGCAGTGGCTGATGAAAATCTTAATTGACAAGTTTTCGTGGTATCTGATGCAAAATGGACCTCAAACATTACCGTAATTAGGAGATGGTTTTTCGGAGAACACGTGTTGATACCACCGACAGTGAATTTTCGCTTTTGGTGAGGCATTCAACCATTTTATCCTAAAAGACCCAGGTTGAAAAAATCGTAAGGCGACCAAATAGAATTCACTTGGATGCGTGCTTAGGGCAAACGCCTATCTGTGTTTGCATGCCCTGGTGTCTTTTTTTGAGGCTAAGGAGACATAAGATCTCTTCGATTTGGCTTGCACTGCCTGCACTAGTTCCTTAATGTGTCAAAGCAGCGCCAGCGGTGACGTGGGTACGCCACTGGTTCAGCAAGTGCTTGTGTAGCCTCGACACTACAGCGTGGCGGCTGCTGCCAAAACGAAGATTCAAGTGCAGGTATGAAGTTCTTCGAATAGCCAACGCGGCGTGTACCGATGGTGTTGTTTACCAAAACACTGCTGCGAGGGCTGTCTTCATGCCATATAAAGAAAACTACTGGACAGCGTTCATGATTCCAACAAGGATGATCTGTACTGTAACAGAGGAGGTGTTGGCGGGGTTTGTGTTGGTCTTTTGCTCGGTGTACGTGAAAATGTCAGTCATGTTCTCAGGTACAGGAACGCTGTCGGACGATTCCATTAGTATGATTTCATGAGACTGTTCATACTGTCTAGAACGATAATTTAGCGGTTTAGTACTCTATTCTGTACTGTCGGCCTTCTAATCAAGTGCGTGCGAGGCCATGGAGCAATAAAAAGCAAAAAATTGCGGGGGTTCTTTGTCCAAGAGAGCCACTTTTCTTCACAGTATATCAATATAAGACACGTGAGCAAGCTTCCTTCAATACATATTTTAAAACAGCCTTTTTAAGGCTTCCTATCGCATCAGTTTCACACTTTCGTAAAGAGGAGGTGAGTGCGCAGCTTGCGTCTCGAACTGCGTCTTTATTACTTTAACCTTTTTCTTTTTTTCTACGATTCTTACTGCAGTCAACCAGGGTGGCTTTTTCTGCTCATGAGACACACATGTAACAGAATCCGTCCTAATAGCTGCCGATAAGGCATGGCTAAGATTACCCGTCCGTGGCACGAGCTTTACTTAAATGTTTGCACGCACGCACTGAACAACACCCAGTGTCGTCTACTCCAAGCTTGGGAGGAGCAAGGGGCGCACGCCACGCTGCACCTCCTTTTGAGCAAGTGCTGGCCGGCAGAGAACTCGGGCAGCACTACGCTTGTACCGCGACAAAACGAGGAAGCCAGGGCAAGGCGCGTGCGCGGCACCAGTAAATCGAGGAGAAGGGTGCTGCACCTGTTGAACTGGTGCCGCCGCTGTAGCTAAATCGAAAAGACCTCTAAATGACTTCACGGGCTCCACGTCAGTGAGGTCGCTACCGTTATAGTTGGTTGTAATACGGCATGTCAAAAAGAGCAACAAAGTACGTCAGCCTTTGAACTGCCTCAATCTGAAAACTGCAGTGCCTATGCGCGTCCTTTCCACGAAAATGTTGAAATAGAAGAGGGCTAGCGTTGTTGCGGCAGTGGCTGTGGAGGAGAATGAAGCCACTCAGAAAACTTTTTTTTCTGTTAGAAATATTTCAAACTAAAGCATTCAGCATTACCGCCATATTAACCAAAGAGGTTTCACTAACATCTACCTTTAAGCCGGGGTGAGGCATCAGAAAGCAGCGGATCTTCATGAAACATGTCTTTAACTTCTGCCGCAGCTGTCGCAGCTCTTCGTCCTCTATGTCGTCGAAGCGGCTGTCCAGGAGTTGTTGACCACCTTCCAAGCCATAAGGCATCTCGTACGCACACTGCCAGTCACGCACCAGAAACAGCAAGCTCTGGAAGGGCCGTGCACATCCCACCTGCACATCACACAGTTTTTCACCCGTTGTATTGATTAACGAGGCTAATTGTTTCACTTACAGTTGCATGAATTCACCTCCAGCACTGAAGTATGGCAGGCGCATGTTTTCCGCAGTAAAGACTGCAAGAAGACTCTAGTGCACAGTTGTGCTAGCGGAAACTAGGACTACAGCTTCTCATCAAGCCTTGACGGATTGGCCCCTGAGGTGTCCCGCTCTTATGCTCGATGGCAACGCTTCCTTTTGGGGTAATGGCAGGCACATATCTGTATCACCAAACTGCAGATATGCATTGTTACTTTGACACTTCGATGAATCTAGGGTTGTTAAATTTGATAGTGTACCTCATATTGATACCATAGTTTGCCACGTATTCACAAAGCTTTTTTTATGTTTTTAAGCATGTCCATCAGCTTTTGCTCAACGTAACTCCTGCGCAATTATTAGCCGCTCATCACTACTGGTTGTAGTATAGAAGTTTTCGGCAAATATGTGCGTGATCTGGCGTTGTGCACAACACAAGTTTCTGAGTTTTTAGGCCCCTCTCAATTTATTAAGCTTTATCATTCAAAAAATTGCAGTATTTCGACGCACAGAACAATACATTGCACCACATAAAGCTGCAAAGACGACCATAAAGGCAAGCGCGACCGCTATAGAAATTCATGTGCTATAAGTATCCCACTAGCTGACTCATGACGGCAAAGGAGTCTCAAATACTGGAAACATAATTTCCTGTGATAAGTTCGTATATTCTCTGGATTAAATCTGCAGACTATAATACCCAACTTATGAGTGCAGTATAATCAGGTTGACACCAAAAGCGCAATCTCACGGCTCCGATCATTAAGAACACAAGGCAGATGGCTATTCGTGCAGATGACTGGTGCATCAATCAGGATTTATTCTTGATGAAAGAAATCTACCAGGTGCCGAAGTTTATATCTGTTCCTCGAAGTGCTGACGAGAAAAAAATGGCAGATCCCACGTACAGTGGAAATCGATGATATGCGAAGCACAAATGAGGAAGTTTTATATGTACCTCTAAAACCACCCCAACGTTACAGCGCGGAAGTAAATTATTCCGTACATGACTTTCATATCATGAATATCTCGTTTGCGCCTAGCATATGTGTTTGTCGTCCCTTCAGGTAAAGTAATACCAAGTTTAGTGCATGTGAAGCGAGCCAAATGGCTGCGCGGATGCTATGAGCGTAGTCAGTGTAATGACATGTAGTCATGTTTTACATGACACGCATATGGTGATTATCATGTTTGGACGTGTCATATTTACCTTAGCGGTCTAAACAGGCCACATGATATCAAATTTTATATATGTGGAGCTCCCAAAATAGCCACGAGCACGCTATGTGCGTAGTATGTAGTCATGTTTTACAAGACAAGCATGTCGGGATTATCATGTTTGGACGTTTCATTTACCTTTACTGCTACTGCCTGCACACGTCCCATTATACCATATTTGGTATATATGGAGCTAGCAAAGTGACCACGAGCACGCTATGTGTGTAGCATGTTATGTTTTGATGACACGCATATCGGGATTGCCAAGTTTTCAGGTGTCATTTACCTCCGCCGTCTATTAACCTCTCGTGATACCTAGTTTGGTATGTGCGAAGCTGGCGGAACAAACGCGAGCACGCTTTGAGCGTAGCGTATAGTCATGTTTTACATGAGATGCGTGTTATGATTATCATATTTGGAAGTGTCGTTTATATACACGTCACAAGACATCAAATTTCGTATACCTGGAGCTAGTGAAACAGCCACAATCACGCTATGAGTGTAGCTTGTAATAATGTTTTACATAATACGCATGTCGTTATTATCATGTTTGGATGAGTTATTTACACCTTCGTCGTCCATTCACCTCAAGTAATACCGAATTTCGTCTAAGCGAAGCTAGCGCAACGGCCGCGTGCGCATCTTGAGCGTGGTATTTTGTAATGTTTTTTACATGACAAGCATAATATGATTTTCATGCTTGGACGTGTCATTTACCTGCCTCATCTGTTTGTTCCCGTATACCTAAATTGCTATATGTGAATGAAGCTAGCTTAACGGCCCTGAGCTCATCGTGAGGATGGTATGTTTTCATGTTCTTGCATGACACGCATGTCATGATTATCATGTTTGCACCAGTCGTATACCTTCTTGATACATTCACGTCCCTTAACCAACTTTGGTGTACGTGAAGCTAGCGAAATGGCGGCGAGCGTTCCATCAGCGTGGCGCGTAGTCATGACTCACATGGCATGCCTGTCAATATTTTCACGTTAGGGTCTCTCACGTTCGCAATGCAGTCATACCACCTTTATGTCATGTGAATGAAGGCACTGCAAGAGTACCAAGACTATGAATTGTATAGCGTGAAATAAATGACATACATGTCATGATTCTCATGGTATGCTTAATCAGTTTTGCTCGTCATACAGTCTTGTTATGGCATACTAATTTTGGTATAGGTACCATTATCCAAACGGTCAGGAGAGCTAAAAGTCGTAGGCGGCTAGATAGATAGATAGATAGATAGATAGATAGATAGATAGATAGATAGATAGATAGATAGATAGATAGATAGATAGATAGATAGATAGATAGATAGATACGACTTGTAACAAAAATTCGCCAAGAGACGCTTTGCATTCAATACATTTTCTCGATCAACTTCACATCCTTAGGTCCCGGGGCACATTGAGCCACTTATTTTAAGAGAGGGGGCAGGGGGTGGGTGGGGTGGACACGTTACGTAACACAATAGGGTACTTGGTCTTAGCTATTTGTGTTTACTAGGAGAGAAACCCATTCTTAGCCTAAAATATTCCGCTAATGAGTGCTCACAATCGATTTAGTCATTTGTCCTAATTGGTGATAGGTGGTAAAATACAAGCACTGAAGTGAAGGGAGGGTGCCAACACAGACTTAGGGGGGGGGGGGGGGGAGGGTGTGTGATCGCACCTGCCATTCCGCTCTGGATCAGCCACTGCATAGCTCCTATATTGCGCAGCATGGTCATCGCTCTAGATGATTTAAGCGTGAAAAACGATCAGTAGGTAAAGCTGGCACGATGACAGCAAGTTCCAAGTATGTCATATAGCTGACAAAGTGTGTTCATCCAAAAAAGTTTCTTTTGCGTTATTTGATTGTATCCAGTGCTTAGTTATTATTGCGAGGAGTGGCTGCCCGAGGACAAGTGCTGAAAAAGGTAGCGCCTCATAGTCACGTAGGCAGAATTTTTTTTCGGGGAGGAGGGGACAAACCTTATGTCTGCTTGCGTTGGTATGTGTGTTTGTATACATACGTAGGCAAAGTGGGAAGATTTTGGGAAGGGTTTGAAACCCCTTATTTACTACATCCCTGGAGCCTAATTTTGTCTGATTTTATCATCGTAAAAGAAAGTACCAGCTTACAATTAAACCATTCTTCCTCAAAGGCTGCTGCTTCAATAGAAGACTATGTCTAACAGCACAGGGCCACGCACCAAGCAGTATATGCCAAATTTGGTATTACAGTACGTGAATAGATGACGAAAGTATGTGACTTGTGCAAGCATGATAATCATCAGATGCGTGTCATGCAACAACATGATTACATACCACGATCATGATGCACTCGCGGCCGTTTCGCTAGCTTCACATGTACCAAACTCGGTATTACGTGACGCGAACGAATAACAAAGGTAAATGACACAACCAAACATGATAATCACGACATGCATGTCATGTAAGAACATGACCACATGCCCCACGGATGATGCGCTCACAGCCGTTTCGCTAGCTTCATCTATGCCAAATTTGATATTACGTGACGCCAATGAATGATGAAGGCATGTGACTGGTGCAAACATGCAATCATGAGAAGCGTGACATGTGAGAACATGACTACAAGCCACAGTCAAGGCACCAATATACACTTCGGCATGACGCGGTGTGCGTGCTCGCCGGCGTTCATTTCCTCGTGTCACGCCTGCGTTGCCACGCCAGGTGCGCCCCGCGCTGCGTTGCTTTGTCTCATGCGCGTTTCAGCGCGTCCGGCGTCCCTTCATCACGAAAAGAGCAAGGCGCAGTTTTGTCTGGGTAACGCATCGGCGCAAAATGCAGCATGTCGCATTTCGCAGCAGTTGCCGTCGGACCGCGCCGACGGACACTGGTCGCACCTAACGTCAGACTATAGAGAGCTTGCATTTTGCTAACGAAGCGTCGCTTTGCCCAGCGTGCGCGCGTGTCAACGCTACATTGGAGTATATTGGGATCTTCATGACGCAATCGCGGGCGTTTCGCTAGCTCCACATATACCAAATTCGCTTTTATGTGACGTCAATAAATTATGAAATATATAACTGAAGCAAACATAAAAATCCTGACAGGCATGTCATGTAAGAACATGACAATATACAACACTCATAGCGTGCTCGCGGCTGTTTCGTTAGCTCCGCATATACTAAATTCAGTATCACGTGACGTGAATAAATTACGGGGGTAATTGACACATCCACACATGATAATCGTGACACGGAAGTCCTGTACGGCATCATTTACCTCTACCTCGTAACGTTGTGCTGATTTTGAAGTGACATATCAACGTTTCTTATTCGTGCTTTGCATATATCATTGATTCCCAGTGTACGTGGGATCTGCCAATTTTTATTTTTTGCGATTTAATATCTCCACCAGATGTCACGCGCTACCAGCTCGAAGAAACATGCAAAGAACGCTAACCATTTTCACGAAAATCACACGCGTGGCGGGCCTCCTATCGACGTCCTCACTGCTATCACTGTGGCGAACTTGGGCAGATCTGCCAGCAGTGCACTTATTTAAAGCTAGGATTTCGTGGTTTTTAGGCCGGCTCTCCATCTCTTAGGTTTGGCCAGCGGGCTCTGGAAATTGCAGACTACGTTGCTCAGTAGAGCGGTTCGACGTCTTAGCACCACCCACGTTCTCTGCCACCATGGCGGTCCTCGCCTAATTGTCGCACCTATT